TGTCTTCCTTGTCTTCCTTGTCTTCCTTGCCTTCCTTGTCTTCTATGTCTTCCTTGTCTTCCTTGTCTTCCTTGCCTTCCTTGTCTTCTATGTCTTCCTTGTCTTCCTTGTCTTCCTTGCCTTCCTTGTCTTCTATGTCTTCCTTGTCTTCCTTGTCTTCCTTGCCTTCCTTGTCTTCTATGTCTTCCTTGTCTTCCTTGTCTTCCTTGCCTTCCTTGTCTTCTATGTCTTCCTTGTCTTCCTTGTCTTCCTTGGCCTGAACTCGTTGATGGATTCTTAATGTTGTATTGTTCTTGGCATGTTGAATCATTTGCATTAGCCCATTGGAAGAATCCACACCCATTACCGGATGAATATTTTTGGCAACCCCAAAACATTCTTCCAGGATTAGTTGGTGTTCTTGATGTCTTTAGTTCAGCATATATTCCACAGTAGCAACATCGAACCGTCATTGTGAAGACCAACAAAATCAAAACAACAAAAATACAATAGAACCACACACAAAAAAAAAGATGAAACAAAAATACAATAGAATCACACACAAAAAAAAGATGAGTAGATCGAAGGAAAAAATAAAGGCACCAAAAATAAAAGAGAAAAAAATTTGAAAAGACAAAATCGAGAAAAAGAGGAGAAAAAGGCTCAAATTTGTCCAACAATGGTGTTTGAGTGAAAATAAAGAAGAAAGATGGCCTTTAAAGGTCAAAATCTGACCGTTACTTTATTTTTAAGGCGTCTCACGCTCTTCCCTTGTGTGTATCACACGCTCCATGTGGAGTCTTTCCACATAGGATGCCACATCAAAAAAAATGTTTAAAATGTTGGGTTTGGATGGGTTCAGTGGTCCAGATGACAAAAGGGTAAGTAGAAGGGTTCACAATACAAACATATACAAGTACAAGGGTCCACCAGATCATTCTGCCTTTGTACAAATAAAGTTAATTTACACTGATTTCTCATATTATCCAGTTTTCAGACAAATAAAATCATCAAGCCAAATAGTTAGAATTTGCTATATGAATTCTCTGTGTTAATTATTTTCTCTGAAACTAATGTTAGATTTGACAACTCAAAGAGACATCCTATATATTCATTCTTAAACGATTCTAGACTGATAAGTAATATATGATAATTTATGATTATGAAAATCTAAGAATTTCATATCAGACACTTTAAAAATGACATTTTTTCTCAAAATTTCAAAATCAAAAGTATTCACTAATCAAATAAACTTTGAAGATGTATTAAATAGAGGTGTCTATATAAAGATTGTAAAGACTTGAATCAACATAGCAAGACATGAATTCAACAAGATAACTAAATTCCTCTAATTTCAAAGTGTTGGATTTATTGGAGACTCATCGGAATGAGCTTGAGAAAGAGGGATCAACGGCAACACACGTTGACAAAGTTTAACAGAATCTTTTCTTTTAGACAACACAAATTATAGTTTTACTTCAATTATAGTTTTACTTTTGTTTTCCATCTGTAAACTATAGTTTTACTTTTCCCTTTTTTTACTTCCATGTAAATAGTAGTTTTGTTATTTAAGGTAGCTAATTATTAGGAGATAGTTGGGTAGTTGCTACCTTTTTCCAGTTTTATTCCAGGTTCACTTCCATGTAAATAGTAGTTTAGTTATTTTAGGTTAGCACATAATTAGGATAGTGGAGTAGTTGGTTATATTTTATTCTTTGCTATATATACTTGTATTGTGCAGAGGAATAGAGACAGAAAACAGTCAACACAATCTCTTTTTATATTTTGCTATCTTTCATGGTATCAGAAGGCAAGTTTTAAATCTCTGCTCATATTCTCATTTTTTTCCTAATCTATAATTTGTTACAATGATAGAATTTGTAAGCACATCTTCTTCTAAGTCTCAAGTTCCCACTCTTACTGGAACTAATGCAGCCCATATTCTCATAAATCCTTCTCATCCTTTTTTTTATTTCCCCTTCGAATTCTCCTGGTATGTTGCTCGTCAATACGGCTTTTGATGGCAAGAATTTTGGCGGATGGAAGAGAGGTATGCTCATAGCCTTGACTGCAAAAAACAAGTCGGGATTTATTGATGGATCAACTCAAGAACCTGTTGCTGGTATAGATTTGCACTCTGCCTGGTCCAGAGCAAACAATATGGTAATTTCCTGGCTCTTGAACTCTCTTTATAGAGAAATATCTGAAAGTGTTATATATTCTTCTACTGCTAAAGATCTGTGGGCAGAATTTGAAGCCAGATTTGGGCAGAGTTCAGGTGCGAAACTTTTCCAGCTTCAAAAGGAACTTAGTGACCTTGTTCAGGGTTCATTTGATATCGCTACTTATTACACTAAGATGAAACATCTTTGGGATAAACTGGATACCTTGGATTTCTTCATTCCATGCATTTGTGTTTGTTCGTGTGGAGAAAAGGAAAAGAACATTAAGCCCAAACAAGATGCACAATTGGTTCAATTTTAATGGGACTGAATGACTCTTATTGTGCACCTAGAGGTAATATACTTATGATTTTACCATTCCCTTCGATCCCTAATGCTTATGCATTGTTGATGCAAGAGGAGCAGCAAAGGGAGGTCTAGAATTGTAACATCTTGCAAATTGAAATAACTATGAAGAATCTTATAATTGGAAATAGTCATTTTTGGAAAGAATACAAAAATCAGGAAATTTAGTTATGGAAAAAAATGAGTTTTTGGTCAACTTCAAACAGTAATAACTCCTAGCTCAGGATGATTTAGGTGTATTTCCAGTTATGTTTGGAAAGCTCTTGGAATGATCTTTTCAACGCCGCCGAGTTTTCTCGATTCTGAGTTCGTATGAGTGAGTTATGCCCTTTGGAAGTTGGGTTGTTGGCATAAGGAAGTTCAATCCGAATTTTTAAGGGTAGTTTGGTTTTTTCCCTAACCATTTCTTTTGGTTATATTAAGGGTCTAAGCTGATTTTAAATCAGTTTTCCCTTTTAAAAGTGAGAGTTAGGGTTAGAGAGAT